GCTTATGGGAGCAGCATCCCAAAGATCTCCAGCACTGCCCTGGGTGTCATCTGTGTCCCGGCTGAGCCTGTTGGCAGCTCCTGCTTTTGGGGTCTGTTGGGGTTGTTGGAGCTGGGTGGTGACATGGATTGTGCTTGGGAGTTTGTCCTGTAGTGGGAAAATATTCCCTGGTCATTGCCAGGTGTTGCAAAAATGTTGTACTTGCCATGAGGAGAAACAGAAGAGAACACCAGACGGTGTTTGTGTAAGTGCATCCTGGGAGCCATTCTTCATCTTGTCAGGAATTGTCCCCTTATGAATCAAATACTGAAACTTTATCAGTGGCTGATCACTCCCTAAGCTGCCATTGCAATTGCTGTAGGGTATTTTTAATTGCCCCCAACAATGTGACAGTATTCAGCTTACTCAGCCTCTCCCTCCATGCTGGGGTGCTGGGCTGGGAGCCAGCAAACTTTAATTCTTACACAATCCTGGTTTTCTTGTCTTTCAGAATTATCCAGCAGCTGGTCAATGGCATTATTGCACCGACCACAATTCCGAACCTAGGCCTGGGCCCTTGGTGAGTTGGAGGATGTACTGCTCTCTCTGACAGTGTCTCGTTGGTGCTCCAGGATGAACTCACTTGCTGTCCTTGCTCTTCAGGGGAGTCCTGCACTCAAATCCGATGGACTACGCCTGGGGTGCCAATGGCCTAGATGCGATTATCACACAGGTAAAAGTGGGGTTCCCTGCTGTCTCCATCCTCCTGTGCAGTGCTGCAGGAGAGGCAGCACCTGTGGGGGTGCAGGGAATGAGGGCTGGGGGGACTGAAATGGGAAAGGATCCACAGTGCAGGGTCCAGGTGCCCTGGCTCAGGAAATGAGTGGATTCTGTGTGCTGCTAAGCTCACCTCTCTCTTCTGCCTGCCTGGCTGGTTGTTTTTCCAGTTACTGAATCAGTTTGAAAACACTGGACCGCCACCAGCGGACAAAGAGAAGATCCAGGCCCTCCCCACCATACAGATCACACAGGAGCACGTAGGTATGTGTCTGCTCCATGGAGTTGAGCATAGTGAGCACAGGGTGCTCACTGGAAGCTCTCTGTAATGTTTTCTTGGGACTTGAATTTTGTCTGTTTGTACCTTTGAGGCATAAAATATTTCAAAATGGGCAGAGAGCTGGAGGGGCTCTGTTATACTCACACAAAAAAAGAGCAGTGTAGGCTGGACAGATTTGCCCTGGGGAGGCTGTAAGAAGTTCAGTGTGGATAGAGATGGAAAAGCAAAAGGGAAGGGAAGGATGAGGCATACCCTGGGCAGGGGGAGGTGGGGTGATGGTGTGGGGACTGCAGAGCACCAGGCTTTCCTCCTGACAGGGATGGAGCAGTGGCAGAGAAGGGGAGAGGGATGATGAGTTCTGAGTCGGGGGCTTTGCGTGTCGTTCTCTCCTCCTCTGCTCAGCTGGGCTTGGCTTTCCCTGTGCCGTGCAGATTCCGGGTTGGAGTGCCCTGTGTGTAAGGAAGACTACACAGTCGGGGAGAACGTGCGGCAGTTACCGTGCAATCACCTCTTCCACGACGGCTGCATCGTCCCGTGGCTGGAGCAGGTGAGTGCAGGGCAGTGCCTGGGGCGTGCAGCACTGGGGGCTTTGTCTGGTCCTGCTCCCCTCTGTAAATATTTTCCTACCTCCATGGTGAGGCCTGAGCACCAGCAGCCTGTGGTCAGAGGATGGAGTGTCATCCCAGCCCATTCCTCGAGTGCTGCCCCCCTGTTGTGTTTCTAATCCCGTTTGCCATATTTCTTGTTTTGTTTTTTGTCTGCTCCCCAAAGCATGACACGTGTCCCGTCTGCCGGAAAAGTTTAAGTGGACAAAACACTGCCACAAACCCCCCAGGACTCACAGGGATGAACTTCTCGTCATCCTCCTCCTCCTCCTCTTCCTCCAGCTCACCAAGTAATGAAAACTCATCGAACAACTCATGAATCTTAACGCACCCTCTGTCCCCGGGGCCCTTCCACTGTCCCCCCTCCCTCCCTGGCCACCGCGAGCAGCCAAAGGGGCTTCCAGAGCAGAGCGAGGGGAGGGGACGAGGCAGGAGCGGTGCCCCCAGAATTTCCTTTTGATTTCTGAAGACACGGAGCCTCTGGGTCCTTCAGAGATGAGAAGCCTCAAGTTCTGTGATGAAAAAGGGGGGAAAGAGCTCTGTCTGTCAATAAAAACATCCTCTTTGCGTGGACTTTACCCATTGCAGTGCGAGGCTGCTGCGCTCCCCGGCTGGGAACCCCGAGGTGCTGAGCGAGTGGTTGAATCCCGAATGGAAAGGTTGTTTGTATGGGTTTGAATTTGAGATCCCTTTCTTTTATTTCTTTTGCTCCTCCTCCCCTTGGATACTATCTTTTCTGCTTTGGAGATTGACGTCTAAAATGGAAGTATAAGGATGCTGCCTCCCCCCAGGATCACCATCTGGGGAGGACCAATAGCTGTCACTGAAACAGGAACTCTCAAGTAGACCCCGGGATCCTTCCCTGTCCCATCTCGAGTCCCTTTTATTTCTCTTTATAACCTCGCCCGCTGATACTCAACACTGAAAGGGGTTTTTATAATCTTAAATTATTACTGTTGTCAATAAATGGACATTTCAGCTCTGCGAGCCATTATGCATGATTTGAGGAAAGCTACAGGGTAAGCTCTGAGGCCACCAAGCTGTCCTGCCTTCCCCGGGCAGGCTGGGCCTCTCTGAGCCCTCCTGCGTGCTGGGAGTTCCGGTGGGAGCCACTGCCAGCCTGTGGATCACTGCACAGGTAGCCAAGGATCGCAGCTGGAATCATCCTCGCCTGGTGTTTTCTATTTTTTACACCTTCTTCCCCTTACAGTCCTGCCCCCCTCGCAGCTGGGGCAGGCTGTTCTGCTGGGCCGACACAGGACTGGGTGTGCAGCAGAACCAGGACCAGCAAATCTCATTGTGACCGAGTAATTACCAGGAAAACAACATTTTGGAGAAAAAAAAAAAAATGTATTGCAAAGCTACTTAAAATAGAGCTGATTAAAACAAGGAGAGAGAGAAAAATATCCAGGTATGTTTGTGACTCAGTTTCTGTGACAGAGCTGGAGCTCGGAGAATGACAAGAATGTCACCAGAGCGGGCAGTGACTCCCTGCCATGTCCCTGCTTCCTGGGCCCTGAGGCATGAGAGGAGAAGCTCTCACCATCCCTCACTGGGAACCCCTTCCCCTCACAGGCACTTGAGGTGGTCAGGAGATTTCCTAGAGGGCTGGGGGTCCGTGATGGTACCACACGTTGGGACTGCTCTGGGGCAGAGGCCAGAGCAGACAAGGGACAACCTGCCCCCATGGGAGCTGCCAGGGAAGTGGGTGGAGGGTTTGGCAGTTTGGGGGGTTCCCTGCCTCTCCCTTGGCTTTTGGGGCTGCTGGGGAAGGTGGTAGCTCCAGCAGAGCTCAGGTGTCTTCTAAAGCAGCCATCACCCCAGGACCTGGCCCCTCCATGAGCTTCCTGAGAAGAGATGAACCTCTGTTAGGAGGGGGAAGGATGGTTTGGTCTTTCTTGAGCCATTTCAGAACGCAGGAAGTTGGTTTGTTGGAGAAAGTGTCACCAGCTGTGCCAGGGCCAGGGGCTGGCAGGGAGCGACTTGCCCGGACTGTTTTTCTTCCTCGGCTTGGCCGGGCAGCGTGGCGGCGCCTTTCATCTCACAGGAGGGTTTATCTCGGGACTGGTGTGTCGGGGTTAATGGCTCATCCTCTGCCAGGGGTTGAGCCAGAAGCCTGGGCTGCTGAGGTGGGTGGCAGCAAGAAGGTCCCAGCTGAACCTGCACGTGTCCATCGGCTGACCCGACACCGAGGAAAGGCTTTGCTGTTTAGTCACCAAAAAAAGAGACCTGGAAAAACCTTTCCTGTCCCACTGTGTTTCAGCTGTGACGGGGGTCCTGGCTCCCCCAGGTGCTTGGGGATGATTTCTCATGTGTGAGCAGTGCTCAGATGGGTTTCAAGTGGGCTGAGCAAAGTCCAAGGTGGGTGCATGGCAGCTGCTGCCCACCTGGCAGGGGCTCACCACAGTCACCACATGGTTAATACAGTGGCTGTTCCCTCTCAGACTCACTTGGAGCTGGTTGGGTCAGAAATGGAACGAGTTTGGTGGTTTTTGCTGGGGCCATTGCTCTGTCTGACGTGACAGTGACCGGGATGCTGGGCCTGGCCAAGGCAGGTGTGAGGTGGTGCAGGGATGTACCCTGGCCAGGACGCTGAGGCACAGGTGCTATTCCTGGCCATGCTGCCCTCCAGGTGAGGGGCTGGTCCTCACCACTGTCCACTGTCCCAGCTGTGTTTTTGTTGGGGATGCAGAGCTAGGCTGAAGGACTGGCTGGCACTGGCTGTGGCCAGGGACAGCCCTGGAGCTGTGTCTGCCTGAGGATCTGGGCTGGCTCCTGCTCCTCCTGCTCCCTCCTTTGTGCCACTGAACCACCGTGGCTGTTTTCCTGCAGGGTGGGTGGGGGTCAATGAAAAGCTGGATGTGGCAAAGGACCAGCTGGGCTCCCTGCCAGTGGCAGCAATGACACTGGTGGCTGCAGCCACAACCACACGGGAGCCAATCCCTCCCATCCCAAGCCAAGTTCACCATCAAAGCTCCAAGACCTGCTCCTGTTCCATACCATGAACACAGCTTTAATTGCCACGGAAGCTCGGACACAGACAACCTGCTGGTACATCCCAGCCCTGCAGAGATGCCATTAGCAGATCCTGGCCCCTGTTCCAGTCGTGTTCCCCAGCTGCACCACATCAGCTCTGTGCCGGGGTGTCCTGGTTTAGGGCAAATTTGGGAGCAGTGGGAGAGCCACAGCCCCGCACGGCTGAGTCTGGAGCATCTGCCTTCCACATCCCTCCTCTGCCGTGCATTAAAAATAAAGCAATAAATAGCAAAAAATAGATATGTACATAAATAAAATAACATTTTTTTTGTTTGGTTTTTTTTTTTTCTTCCTACAGGACCGTCTGGAGCTGCCCACGGCGTTCAGCTGACGAGCATGGGGAGGAAGTGTGTGGAGAGGTGCTGCCGGCGTGTCCTGCCCCCTCGCTGTGGCCTGCCCTTGCTATTGAGCGAGAGGAACATGGGGCGGCCGCGGTGCCGCCAGCGCAGCGACGCGTACGTGTTGTAGCCGTTCTCTTCGATGCGCTCCGTGAACTTGCAGTTGGGGCTGAACTCCTTCTGGCAGGAGAGGGAAGGGGGTGAGGGGTGGCTACGCTCAGCTGGAGCCCCTCGGACCCCAAGAGTGGGGCAGGGCAGGACCCTGGCTCCTCTCTGGTCCCCAAGGGGCAGAGGGGCTTGGTGGGTGCAGTCCCCTGCGGGGGAGCAGGTCAGGGCACGGGAAAGCAGGACCCTGTTCCAACTCTGCCCTGAGCCTCTGACTCTGGTGCAGTCCCTCCCAGGAGGCAGCGTCCGACCTACCGACCCGTAGAGCCTCCCCCGCTTGTTCATGGCCAGGTAGAAGCCGGTGTGCACCGCCCGGATGGCCACGACGCCGACACGCACCGACCGGATCTCAACGATGCCTGCGGGACAGGGAGGCGCGGCATGAGCCAGGGAGGGACGGGCGACCTCCCCGAGGGGCCCTGCCCCTGCTGGCTCTGCGGCCACAATGTCCTTCTACAGGGAGGGAGTTGCTGATCTTCATCCAGAGGCAGAGCAGCCAGAGGAACAAGGGCTGCAGCCCAAGCTGGGAGTGGGAGGAGGAACCTCTGATCCAAGGAAGGTTTGATCTTTACTCCTCTCCTCCCCAGGGTCCAGCCACTTCCCAGAAGCGGGGCTGTGCGGGAGGGATGCCAAGCACATGGCACGTGTGTCCTCCCCTCATTGGCAGCTCTGCCCGTTCATCCATCCCCAGCGGTGCCCCGGGGCCCTGAACCACCTCCCGCAGTGCCCGGCCCGAGCACACGCAGGGCACTGAGGCTGCCGTGGCTCTCGAAAGGGCCAAGTGTGCATGGGGGTGACAGCGACAGCACACATCGTGTTTTGGTGGACGAAGGCACGCGGACAGAGCTCTGCAGGGACAGGAACACGCCAGGACAGTGCCCTCTGTGGATGCCGGGTTTCCTAGTGGCACAAACGAGGACAAGCGGCCGTGTGCCCAGCACTGTGGGCTGGCGGGTGGAGGAGCACAGCAGGACATGAGGATGAGCCCGGGGGGCGGCTGCAGCCGGGCTGTGAAGCCACAGCTGGGCTGGCGTGCGTGTGCCCCGACCGCCGAGCTCCGGCTCGGCCGCTAATGGGAAAGGCATGTGGTCAGACCAGCGGCTCTGGCACGGGGAAACACCCAGAGCATCATCGGGGCCCCTGGATTCCTGCACTGCCTCACGCCGGCCAGCCCGGAGTGCCGCTGCCCGCCCGCCAGGCACACGGCAGGGTGGGAAGGGGAGAAGGAATGTGCAGTGAGAGCAGTGTGGGCAGGGCAGCAGGAAGGGCTGGAGCCACAGCAGGACCGGCCACTGGGCACCACTGCAGGGGCTGGACATGGTGGGAGGACACACAGAGGTTTTGGCTGGTGGCACACACAGCGTGGGGGCTGCAGCCCCAGGGGAAGGGCTTTCATCAATCTCCCGGCGTTGCTGGCGTTCCCTGGGCATCACCTGCCTGCGGGAGGCTGGGAGGGCAGGGTGGATGCAGCACTGGGGCAGCGTGAGGGCTCCCGAGCATTGGGCTCCCCCGGGATTTTCAGCCCAGCTGCTTCAGTGCTGCCATGGGAAGGCACTGACGAGGGCTGTGGAGGGGAAGGGCTGAGCAAACGCCTGTGAATCCATCCCACTTGATCACTGTCTGAAGCTGCTGCTATTTATAAGGACTTGTGCTTTTCTAAAAATAACCCCCTTCTGTTCCCAGTGCTCCGGCCGGCTCTGCCGCCCTTTGTTTGCAGGTGCCTGGCCAGTACCTGGTCAGAGCCAGCTCCCAGTGCTCCCAGTCACATTCAGCCCCAGAGGGGTCTCAAGGAGGTGGGGCAGAGCAGGGGTTGAGGTGGGGGAGTCCCTGGAAGCTCCCCTGTCACCCTAGAGCTGCCAGTGGGGCTGGTCCAGCAGCTTCTGTGAGGGCTGTGGAGCAGAGCCCGCGCCCAGCCCAGGCGCACGCAGATAAGCAGAGTGAGCCTCATGTACAGCCCGGAGCTGCTCTGCCTGCCAGGTCCCATGGCCACACCATCGAGGGAACGTGTTGGGGTGCTTTGTGCTGGCAGTGTGCCTGGTCGGGACTCCCGACAGCCTCCGACACCACAGGAGGGTTCCCTGGGCTGGGCTGGGCTCCCGTGTCCTGTGGCTGCTGGGAGACGTCCTGTGCTGACCAGGAGATAGGGCAGCCTCTGCTGGACCAGGACATGGGCTGGGGGTCCTGCAGCCCTCCTGCCCCAAACCCCTACACCTTGTCAGGGCACCTGAGGGATGCTCAGGCATCCCCCTTTCCCAAGGCCCCCATGATCCCTGTCCTTGTCCTGCCAGCCTGGTGCCCCCATCCGTATCCCAGGGGCTGGGACCCTGCACCCCGATGGGCAGCTGATACCTGGGCACTTGCAGCCCTGACTCTTGCTGAAGCCATACAGGGACTGCCACGTCCTTGGGGACTCTGTCCCTCTGCCCACCCAGCTGTCTTGAGTCCCAAGCTTGCTCTGCAGGCAGTGGCAGCTCCATGGTCCCCTCTGACAGGGATGTTCTGCTGTCCCGCATCGGACAGCTGCCCCATTCTGGGACTAGCATCACGGCAAAGCTTCCTACATCCCCCACTCTCTTCAGCCTTTTTCCCCCCAGTGTGTTAGTGGGGGAATGATCAGATCCTCCCAGTCCATGGGGAAGGCAGGGTAGGGAGGCATCGTGAACTGGCAGGAGGAGATGGAACAAAGGACCCCCGAGAGACCCCCTAGGACACCCCAGCCGCTGCGAAAGCAACGCCGGGTGCCCGGGCAGTGCCCGCCGGTGTCCGCGCCCCTCTCACGGCTCCCGCAGTGCAGTGACGGGGGCGAGGGCAGCCGGCGCCGGTTGCGCTCCCGGAGCGCGGGGGGACAGCGGGGACCGGCCGCTCTCGCGCCCCCGGAGGACCGGGCACTTTGGCTGAGATTTCCCCAGAGGGAAGAGTCGCGGGCTCTCTCCGAGCCGGGCATGGAGGGCTCCCCTCGCCGACCCGAGGCGCCTCCGTCCAGCCTCCGCCCCGGTCCGGCCCCGGCAGCGCCCGCCTCCGCCGCAGCCCCGGCAGCCGGTGCGATCGCGCTCTCGCCCGCCGTGGGCGGGGGCGGCCCCACATCCCGGTTCTCCCCGTCCCGTCCCCGTCCCGGTCCCCGGTCCCGTCCCCACTCACTGCCCGGCCGCTCCCTCCAGCGCGTTCCCTCCACGCCGCCGCTGCCGTCGATGCGCAGGAAGAAGCGGGTGGCGGAGAAGAGCCGCCGCCAGCGCACGTCGCCCTCCAGGTGCCCGTAGCTGCGGGGGGGCCGCCGGCCGGTCCCGGTGGCACTGCCCGGTCCCGGTCCCGGCCCCGCCAGCACGGCGAGTGCCCCGGCGAGGCAGGCGGCGATGGCGGCGGGGCCCCCGGGGCGGGGGCTGGGGCGGTGCCTCCCATTCATAAATCCGCGCCCCGACGGCTGCCCCGGGTCACCGGTCCCGGTCACTCGCCTACGACCGCGGGGCGCCCGGTTGGGGACGGCACACTCCGGTATCCGCCGTCAGCCGCGATGGGCTGGCAAGGGACGAGCGCCGCGGGCACAGAGCGCGGGGAGAGGTGCAGAGCGCGGGGCTGCTGTGGCTCAGGACCTGGGGACGGTGGTGTCCGTCTGTGGCCCGACCCGAGACGCTCCGAGCTCGGGCCGGAGAGGCGCGGGTCAGCCGGGCTCCCGTGTTCCCCGGGCTCCGCCACCGCCCGGACCCTCCGCCGTGTCCCGGGCTCCGACCCACCCCGTCGGGGCCGCCACGGCCGCCAGGGGGAGCGGAGCGCGGCCGCGCTGCACCATGGGAGCTGTAGTTCGGCGCGGCGGGACTCGCGCTCCCGGCGTGCCCCGCGGCGGGGCGGCGCATGCGCGGCGGCGCGCGGCGCGCGTGGCCCGGGGATGTGGCTGCTGAGGCTGCGGGCGGTGCTGAGGGGCCCGGGCGGGCTGAGGGGGCCCGGTGAGCGCGAACGGGCACCGGGGGGACACGGGGGCACCAGGGGGGCATTCAGGGACCGGCGGGGACACGAGGAGACCGGGACACGGCCCGAGCGTGCGGGCGGAGCTGGGCCGGGACGTCCCACGATCCTGAGGGTTCTCCGGGATACACCTGGAAGATGGGAGGGTCTTTTTTGCATCGTGAGCGCCCCAGGGGTAGAGTCGGGGCTGTGGAAGTGCCGGGATGTTGTTACTCTCCAAAGGGCTGATTCGGGGGCTCTGGGTCGTGTCCCAGCTGGGGGATAGTGCCCGCCTGCTCTGGGGGTCTCGGGGTGCTGCCGCCCCGTTGACAGCGCTGGGGTTTGTGGTGTTCCTGGGGTCGTGTTCCCTCTGAGCCTCTGGTTCCGGGGGGTCAGGGGTGGCCCTGTCCCTCCTGCCCTCCTGTGCTGCTGCTGAGAAACATCCCTCTCTCACTCTGTCCACACTGTGTCCAGCTGGGGCCACGGGGCAGAGTGGGGCACAGGGAGTGTTTGAGGGTGTGGAGCTTCCTCTGACCCCCACACTTCTGCATTCACGGCAGGGATTCCATGGAGAATCTTCAGGAGCTACTCCTCTGCCAGCACCAAGGAGAAGGCAAACAGAAATGGCCCCTGTGAGAGGACAGAGCTGCTGGAAGGTGAGTGCTGGGAGCGATGCAGTGAGCAGACAGCAGGCAGACCAGCCTGGGCTGTTGCTTTGTCCCTGGCAGTGGCACTGCTGGGTTGCTGGGATGCTGGGGTGTGTTCCTGAGATGCTGGGGTGGGTTCCTGGGATGCTGGGCTGGGTTCCCGGGATACTGGGGTGGGTTCCTGGGATGCTGGGGTGGGCCCCAGCTTGCAGGTAGATCTCAGACAGACAGAGGTTGGTGTCTCTGTTGATGAGCGGGGCTCTAAGGAGAGATGAAACTCTTGTGTGAACCCTTTTTTCTGGGCATGATTCTGATACTTTCAGAGTGAGGACAGGACAGAGCTTTTTGCTGTGCCTTGTCTCCCATCACCTCTCTGTTTCCCACTAGTGCTGAAAGCTCGAGCCAAGCAGCTCCAAGGCAGTAACGTCCCAGAGGTGACAGTCAGCAAAGTGGAGCTGGGTGCACTAGACAATGACAAGTACCAGGAGGCTGTGGTCCCTGGCCCCAAGGAGAAGCAGCCCATTCCCAGGGCACGGGGTGATGGCCTGTCCCAGTCCAGCACCTGGGCCAAAAAGCTGCAGAAGGAGATGTACAGCCAGCACCTGAAGATGAAGCAAGAATTGGGCAGTGCTGCCTCCCAGCTGGCTCTGGAGGGCCAGGGCAAGGTACAGTCCACACCCAAAGCAAAAACCATGAAGATCCCAAAGACAAAAGCAGCAACTGCCTGGAACCAGAGCTCTGGCAGCGCCCACAACAAGCCCAGGGTGGTGGAAGGGAAGGAAGCTGCAGAGCTGAAGAGGCCTCAGAGGATGCCAAAGGACAGGACTAACCAGCAGGCGCTGCAGCAGACCATCCAGTGCAACCTGGAGTGCTTCCTGTTCCTGCAGCACGCAGAGGAGGCCGAGAGGTACCTGCTGCTGTGCCACAGCTCTCCGGTGAAGAGGAAGGTGATGGACGTTGGTGCCTTCAACGTCGTGATGCGCATCTGGGCCAGGAAGGTACCGAGCCCTGGGTGCTCCACGTGGGAGAGGGGCTGCCTCGTGAGGAGCAGCCTCCAGCTGGTTTCACCTGTGCTTGTCACTTCAGCAAGTGTTCAAGCAGTGCTTCTGGCAAGGGGGACTGAGCTGTGTGAGGTGGCTTGGAGAGGAAGAAAGGAGTGGGGAAAGGGTAGGGTAGACCTGACTAAATCTGAACAGGAGAGGGGCATGGAGCTGTGATTCTGGGGCTGCTGATGTCAGTGTGCACAGTCCCCTTCCCCTCTCAGTGTGCACACCTCCCTTCCCCTCTCAGTGTGCTCAGCCCCCTTCCCCTGTCAGTGTGCACAGCCCGCTTCCCCTCTCAGTGTGCTCAGCCCCCTTCCCCTCTCAGTGTGCTCAGCCCCCTTCCCCTGTCAGTGTGCTCAGCTCCCTTCCCCTCTCAGTGTGCTCAGCCCCCTTCCCCTCTCAGTGAGCTCAGCCCCCTTCATTTCTCGCCTGCAGGGCTCCCTGAGTCGCCTGGACCGATTGTTTTCCATCCTGGAGGCTGCTGGCCTCCAGCCCAACCTGGACTCCTACGCCGTGGCTCTGCAGTGCATGGGCCGGAACCAGTCACCTCCCAAAGCCATCTTGAGGTAACACCTGCCTCAGGTGCTGCTGAGCCTTGGGGGCAGCAGCTCCACATGCTGTGCTTGGTGAGCTGGGGGATGCAGTGGGTTGGCGTCAGGAAGAGCTGACCCTCCTATGTGTCCACCTGGATGCTCTGAGCCACTTCTCATGGCCACATTTTGGGGTGGGCAGAGCACCCTCCCTGCCACCCCCAGCTGCTGGGGAGTTTGTCTGAGATTGTGCAGGGAGGGGAGATGTGGGAGGTGAGAACAGACACTGTTCCCCCCAGAGCTGGGCTGGGAGAGGCCCTCTGCAGTCAGGGACTCCTTGGTTCCACACCCATCCCAGGAATCTCACTCCTTCTGGCCCCTCTGTCGCTACCTGGTGGGAATGGTTTGGCTTCTGTTTGTTTTTATGGCACTTCTGTGGAGTTTGCCCATTTTGGTGGGCTCAGTCACATAGCTGGTTCCTGCAAGGCTCTCCAGACGAGCTTGGTCAGGAGATTGAGGTAGATTTCATGGAGCATAATGGACAGGAAAGTGTCAGTGCTGAAGGGAGCAGCTGAAAGAGCCCTGGAAGATCCCACAGGCTGGGCCTAAGGGCAGTGTCTGGGGCTGGAGGCACAGCCAGCTCCTCTCCAGAGGATGGAGAAAGCTTCTGATGCACTAGTGCTGTACCTCAGGGATGTATCACTGGTCTCTCTGTCCTTTGGCTGATGAGTTCTAGATGCCTTCAGGGGAATGTCTCCCGTCAGTTGACACTCTGAGGGGGTTGGCAGTGACTGTGCTGGATGGTGTGGAGCTGTGTCAGTGCAGCACAGGCTGTGGGGCTGCCCGTGGGCAGCTGGGTCCTGCAGTGGCCTCTCTGCCCAGGAAGCTCTGCAGCAGTGCAGGCTGAGGGATGGACACCTGATCCCTGTAACCTGAGGCGGGGGGTGACCTTGTGGGACAGGCTGTGCTGAGGCAGCTCCTGCCCCAGCAGCTCCTGCACAACACGCTCAGGTCCTTAGGGAAGACTGAGCCTGTCCTGTCTGCCCCTCCTCAGATACCTGCAGAAGCTGAACAGCAGTGGCTTCCATGTGGATGAGCTCTTCCAAAAGTGCCTGTTTGAGGAAGATGAGAAGGAGATGGTGCTGTGGGCCATCAGGACTGTCCAGCCCAACTACCAGCTGCCTCCTCCACCCATCCCCAAGATCTGCAAGTCTTCTCTGCTCCAGGACTTCTATTCCAGAGTAAGCTACAGCACTCAGGGAGGTGTTGAAGCTGGCCTGGTGGTGTTCTTAGGTACAGCCCAGGGGAGGGCTAGCAAGAAAGAACATTTTAACTTGATGTCTGCCCAATAGCCCACACAAATCATCAAATGAATGACATTACTGACAGCCTTACAGGGGAACAGCAAAGCAGAGGGCTGGAGATGGCCTCCATGCATGGGAGGGGGTGCTTGGGCAGGTGCTTGGCCATAGCACAGGAGCAGAGCAGCCTTTGGGGTTTGTCTGCCAGAGACCTCTGGGCCCAGAGATCCCAGCAAGGCACTTTCAGCCCAGAATTGTACCACAAGCCTCTTGCAGGGAAGCTGGGAGAATGAGCATGGCTTCTCCTCCTACTTTAGGCACTGACTGCCTCTCTGCCATTGCAGGAGACAATGGGGTCGTACCCCAAGGTGGATTTCTCCGAGAAGGAGCTGCAGGAGCGCTTCCAGCAGCAGCTGGAGATGGAGCTGAACAACACCGTGACCATCGAGTCAGTGGAGGCAGCCAAGCCCCTGACCCCACAGGCCATCAAAGCGGTAAAGCCCGGGTCTGGGGCAGCCCTCAGGACCTGTGGGTGAGAGCTGAGGGTCCATGAGCTACAGAGAGGGCAGCTCATGCTAACCAGCTCTCTTCCTTCCTTTTCCGTGCAGCGGGAGCTGCTGGGCACGCTCCGCTCCCAGTGGCACGATGCCATCCTCCAGGCCCTGCAGAATTCCAAGCGCAGCATGGTCAGGCCCAAGAGGCTGTCCAAGTACAGCATCCTCTACCCCTACCTGTGTCTGCTGCCAGATGAGGAGTATGTGGACATCATGCTGCAGGTAGGAGCCTGCTCTACCCTCCCAGGAGAGGGGCTGGACTATCAGCCATGGGGGTGTCACAGAGCACTGATGTCCCACTTGAGCAGAATTGGAATTTCCTAAGAGGTTTACCAAGTTAATAGCTGCAGGCTGTCTGGTTCCTCTGTAGAGCAGCCAGAGAAATCCAT